TTCAAATGCTAATTTGTCCAGGAAATACCTCTCACAGACATACACTGAAATTGTATTTTACCAGCTGTCTGGGCATCCCTTATCCCAGTCTGTTGACACAAAAATTTAACCATCATAGTCTTGATTGAATGATCAGGCCTTTAGTAACTAAGTAGATAATTGTTGATTTTATTTCTATGTCAGTTGGTCTAGATGTGTCCTTGAGAATTATTAAACACATTAATTTTTAAATACAGTATTCTTTAAGCTCTTAGAATATCTGAGAAAGAAGCAACTTAATTAAAAATCAACACTTGTGATTAGAAATGTGTTGTTTTTCCTGTCCACGGAGTTTTAATACATGCCCTCTTCCATCCAAGTTGCACAAGCCTCACTCAGTTCTTGAAATCTCTCATGAATTGCTATTTATTTCTTTGAGGTGTTCCTCCACCAGGATCTTACAAGGTGAATTTTGTGTCTGTTAGGCCATCCCAAACAAACCATAATAATTTACTCTAGCCAATATTCCATTATAGGTCATCAGATAAATGAAGATGGTGATAGAAAGTTATATATCTTTTCTTGACCTGGAGTATTTGAAATTTCCCATCTCATGGAAACTTTTTTTTTTTTTCCATCAATCTAGTGAGTGTGTGGTATGGTTTACCTTATATGCACAAGTACACACAGAACTTAGGTGAGGGAAACTAGATAAAATGTGTAAAGTTTATCAAAACATTAGCGCCAAGAGGTGGAGGGTGAGGTAGTCATTACAACTTAGTCTCTATTTATATCACCTCAGTTATCTGAGTAGAAATATCATAGAATTTTTTTCCATACAAAACTCAAGGTGACTTTGTTCTGCAGGTTATTATGTTTTAATCTCCAGATTAGATGTGTGAATCCAATACAATCTGAAAAAACTTATAAGTACAATGTTTAAAAGAATTGATAAGAAAGTTTATGTTCAGGTGAAGCTGAAAAAGGTCAACAGAATTGTGCTTCATTCAGCATGCTAAACTTAATATATATGCACAAAAGAATGGCAACAGAACTGTCCTTTTTTCCTACAAAATGTTTATTTATTTACTATTTTACACTCATGGGGGAAAAGTCCTAAATTTGAAATTGTCAGTAGCACCATTTATTATTAATAGATTCACACCATACTCCTATATTAACTTTTAAACATGTTTTCTGACAAATTGTAGGCTGATACTGATTACCTGGTTTCAGCAGTGAATAGCTGCCTCTCAAATTTCTCAAGAGAGAACAAAAAATTCATATTTAAACGTACAAAATTTTTCAGTATAGTCTAACAAGTTGTTTATGGAGAGAACTATGTAAATTATTATCGTTTTTAAATATGTCTGAAAGATCTCTGTTAGAAAATACTCAGAGAGACAGCAATCTCTTAATACAAATTGAATCACCAGTAGCGTAGTCATATTGTGATATTATCAAAGCGTGCAAGATAGAGTATTCCATGCATTGAAGAAAATACCATACTTCAATTTTATAGCAAATATTAATGTATAATAGCTTAATATAAACCAGACTGATATAGAGCAAACAATTCTCTTTTAAAAAGCTGATGTGAAAGGAAGCAGTGAAGCAACAAAAGTTGATAATTTTCATAAGGCAATTTTATTTTATTGAAACATACCCTTTATTTACAATTAATTGCCTAAGAGTTGGCATTACTGATACTGAGTTTATGTGTTGGAAAGGGGAGGACAGGCCCTAGGAACAGGGAAAGGTGTGCCCAAAGACAGCACTGAAAGCCCCACATCTACCTACATAAATCTTACTTCTGTCTCAGGAGTTGTTAGGAGAAAACTGGGGCAGGAAAAGGGGCGAGGCATTATTATCCCCGTCGTATAGCTGAGCAAAATAAGGCTGCACATAATAAAAGATGATAGGGGAACCAGAGGGCACCTCCCTATCCTTTGACAGATGAGGAAACTCATCCAGGAGCTCACAGGACTTGCCAAATTCTCACAGTCAGAGCTGAACTGGAATCCAAAGGCCAGCACCACCCTGTTCTCATTCAACTGTGTCTTATTAAAAATGCATGTGTGGCGAGGTCAAGAGATCGAGACCATCCTGGTCAACATGGTGAAACCCCGTCTCTACTAAAAATACAAAAACATTAGCTGGGCATGGTGGTGCGTGCCTGTAATCCCAGCTACTCAGGAGGCTGAGGCAGGAGAATTGC